CGTAGTCTATAAGATCTCTTGTGATATTTGCGATGCTACTTACGTAGGTCAAACAGAAAAACAATCAAAGACAAGATTACAGGAATATGCTTCCGATATTAAAAAAAGGTCTAAATCGCCATCAGTGATTTCCAACCATCGCATTGATCACAATCACAATTTTAAATGGGATAATGTTGAAATTTTGGACATTAAATCCTCTTACGACAAGAAATTAATATCGGAAATGGTCTATATAGAAAGACAGAAACATGGAATTAACAAAAACAAAATGATACAGAATCTCTGTCGGAAACATATTCTAACATCATACATTCCCTTTCCCCTTCCACATATTACTGTCTCCGTGTCTATTTGTCTCCTTTTTAAACTCATAACGTTGTCTGATACTGTCGATGCTACACGTTTCTCTACTCTAATACAGCACAATGGCTTAATTATAAAATTTCTGTACCCATTGCCCTAATAGCACAGATCTCCAAAGGATGTTCCATAGAACATTTAAAGGATATCCATATGTCCTAAGAATGTTCGCCAGAACGTCCTTCGAATAAAGTGTGCTATTAGGGTGCTTTACTCTTTTAATTTTTAACTCACAATAGTTCGACTGAAGAAAGTATTTATAGTTTTGTATTTTAATATGCATTGAATTATTGACTTGTTCATTTTTAATCTGTAATTGATATTAATGTTAACATCTCTAACGGTTTTTCTATTATATTTTTATATTATATTATTTTTTAGAAAGTTTTTTTCTTTTGTTGGTCTACTTTTAATTATAGTTAGTTGTTTCTTTTATACACTGTGATTATTTTTTAATTGTATTCAGAATTTAACAACTGGTTTCTTTGAAAACTTTTTTTTAAATAGATTGCTTTTCATAGAAGAAAAATACGAATATCACGAGCGTCCCGATTATATTGAACAATTTCAACGTCTCACTTTTAATATTTCGGTGGACCACATATTCGTAACAAAGAAGGAAGTCATAAGCATTTGATACGTATCTACATTTTTTAAATCGACTTTATAACGTATACTGTTTGTGTAATATGAGAATCCGACATTTATTGTAATATTATTATAATAACATTGAGAATGACCCGATCAGCGTCGAAACGTTTGTACTTTTTACTAATCTATAGTTTTAAATATTAAACATTATTAATTTTAATTGGCTCGTAGCCCTTGTTATTACCTATTTTTAATTTATTTCAATTGAGCTATTTTATTAATTTATATTATAAAAATATCTATTTAAAGATCTTATCAGTTTGACCTTGGGTGGCGTTGCCAAGGTCAGGTCAAGGTCAAATCTTTGTTTTTAAATGCCAGCGGTACTGTCACTTTCAAACCTTACAACTCAAAGTATTGAATAAAAAATAATTTTATTAAGTGTTTTGAAAATCTCTTGACACCAATTATTAGACTCTGACATAAAAAATGTGTTCTATTTAAAAATATCGATTTGACCTTGACTTGACCTTGGTGACATCATTCAAGGTCAAACAGATAAGATCGATCTGTACATAGATTTTATACCTTACAACTTTTATTTTGAAATATTTCTTTCAAAAACGTCATCCTTCTGAGTTAATTCGGGGTCCGACCTTTTTTGAACACCTTGTTATAATGTCAATATAAGAGTCGACACTAGTTATTCATATGTAATAAAACTGTATATATTAATAATAATGTTAAGTCCAGCGGACTCACGCTGCCTCTTTTCTCTTTCTCACGGAGACCTAGGGGTTATCAACCCCCTAGGACTTCTAGGAAAAGTAATAAAAATCTTTTCCCATGAGAAAGTTTAAAGTAAAAGACTCCAGCGTCTCCATTAATGCCAAATAAAATGGAGTTGGAATCGGTGAACGCAGGGAGCTAATGCACCGCCGATGACACTTCCCTTGGACAGCGCCATTAAAAACGGCAATTAATGTCAGTACTGGCGCCTAAACATTTTTTTGACAAGCAAGTCGCGGACGATTCTCACGAGGTCCGCGACCATAAAATATAAATGTGACATGCGAAGTCCAGGGAAAGTGTTTGACGGGCGCGTGCCGACAGTGCACGTGCGCTCGTCTTAATCGGTGCACGTGCATTTTCCCATAAATTTAGGAAAGTCATAAATTAAGACGACACTTGCTGATACCAACCGATTTCTTTCCTCCCCCATAATCTCGACCAATCCAAAATCCCGAGTCACTCCACCACCCAAATTTGAACCCCACTAATTAGGAAAAACCGCTATATAAACCACAGTTCCGCGGTCCTGAGCGTCTTTTTTTTATCTTGTCTTTTGCTCTCGTCTTTGCTCTTGTCTTTTGGTCTTCTCTTTTGCTGAGGGCTTCATAGTAACAGTTCTTAAAGTTGGTCGAAAGGGTTATCCCAAGCTACCCAGTTAATACAAAACCGATCGAGTTCGAGTCTCGGGCGACTCCATTGTTATTCGTTAAAACAAGTATTAGAGTCAGTGACTTGACGCCCCGAGGTCCCGACTACCTACGCCGACCTCGAACCTTTTGAAGTTCTCTCAACAGGCTCCGCCGATTTCATCAACCAGTAAGTGAACGTCGCCCTCCTTCCGTTTTATCCCTTTTCTTCTCTTTCCACTCTTTACATTCAGGAACTCGCGTCCGGTTTCGTTTCCTTGTTCGTTAGTTAATTGTTTTAATTGTCCTTAATTGTTTTCCTTTTAACTATCGATACATGAACCTTGCAGTGCGTTCAGACGGAACCACCGCCCGTTCCCACCGTCGCTCCGTTATAACATATGTCCGGACGATTCACAGAACGTCACGAAATAGGGTCAATTTCCCGGAGGCTCATCATTCCCCAAATCGCATCACCGAAGCTTCGCCGGTCGAAAACTATACCGTCGCTGAACTATCGCCACCAACTCTCTCTGTTTCTCCTCCTTCCCCTCCAATACCAATTTCATATTCACCAGTGTCGAACCTCCTCTCACTTCCCGATGAACCCTCTGAAACACCCGATTTCCCGTCACTATACCCGAGTCCTTCCCCCGTCTCAAACGTCTATCTTCCGCCTTTAGACCTTACTTATAACCAACCCTCTTTCCCTCCGTCTTTTCAACCTCCGTACTTCCACTACATCACATCTGTAGCTCCCTCCTGGCCTATTGGCTGTCTCAGCCTACCGATAACCCCCGAACCGCTATAGTGTACCTCAACGACACCTCTTTCCCGTTTATCGTCCCAGCAGAACATCTAACTCTCCTTACAGACTATTCCTCACCTGTTTAAATCCTCCTTAACCCCCCCCTTTTTTTCTCCTTTTTCTCTTCTCCTCAAAACACACATACCACACATACACGCATCAAATAATAATAAAAATCAATCTATGTAATAAATTTATGCAATTAATGTACCAATTTTTAATGTTAATTATATGATATGACTAAACCACGGAGTTTCAGTGATTTTTGAAAACACCTCCTCGTATTTATAACCCCGATCACGCGATTGCACTTAGTCCAATCCCCGGCCCTTTGGATTTACTTCCAAGGCCGAAAATAAGGGCATCGAACGCACTGGCCCAACTAGGATAGAAGTATGCCCTTACGGTACACTGACCTAGTTTCCCGGCCTTTAGCCTGTGCGTTTGCCTCGAGCGGCACTCAGGGGTGCGTTCCAAAACGTAACTTTGGTTACTAAAAAGCTATAGTTTACGTTACGTTAACTATAAATTTCAGTTACCAAAGTTGCGTTTTGGAACGCACCCCAGCGGAGCGTCGATCTCGAGAGAGGCTTCCGCTTCGTCCTCCCTCGAACCCCCGGCTCTACCAAGTGGCCAAAGGACGAAGTGAAGTGCCTCCCGTTGAGTCGGTCCCTCCCCTTAGCTCCCTTGCGGTCCGGAGCTGGGACTGACGATACGGCGTTTCGGTTCATGTTACGTTCACCCTCTCAGGTTCCATGCGTGTGGAATCTCGGACGTAACAATAAAATTACAGACGTTTTAACCCTTGATCCTCTTCAGCGCATAAGAAATAATCATCGAAAGACAATCCGTTACATTGCAAAATAAAAGAAAGTATGGTACATTTTTGTCATATATCATCGTTAAATTGCAGTTTAATATAAAAATCTTCCATATTGTCTATCTTACATTAGATGTCGTGAATGATAGTCGACCTCTCATACGACATTATTTATATTGCATCTATTGTAAACTATTGTTTTCTAATTATAATATAATTTTTTTAGTGATTTTATATCTTTTACCATTGTGACTATTAATTTTATATTTGTTGATTCGATGTATTAAGTTTAAATTCTAACATGTTTGGTTCGAGAGAATATTTGATAAAATATGACAAAGAAGATTTTTATGTTTGGACAACAGATAGCGACATTGTATCATATCTTCTTCGTAATGTGACGGATATTGACGTCACATTATTTCTTATACACTAAAAAGAATTCAATACCAAAGGTTAAGACGTCTGTAATTTTATTATTTAATATATGCAGTTTTTTTATTACGCATGAATGACTAGTGTCGGCTCTCATTGGCGTAATTATATATTGTTTATTTCCTGTGATGTACCTATCTTTGGTGCCTTTACTTAAGCTTAACATAAACGGTTTCTATTTATTTTTCATTATATTGATACTTTGTACACATTGATCTCTTTAACGTTTAAAATTGTTACTAATTTGATTAAAATTTTAATAAACATAATTTTCTTATAATTCTGAATATTTTATTTGTAGTTTTTATTTAGTGGGAGATTCGTTGTGTCTTATGAAGTACTTTTAGGTTATATTTTATTAACTAGTTCACACCGGATTAAATAAGAACAAAATAATATACTATGGTAATAATTAAAAAAAAAATTAATGAATTACTTCTGATAAATATATTAATGAGCATTTTTTAATTTTTTATAAAATTTATATTAACAAAAGATATTTTTGTTAAGTTAAATGTAAAGTTGTAAAAAATATTAATGGTTTATTAATGATATTTTGCTATAGATTACAGAAAAATGGCAGATAATCGTTTAGATATAGTAATATTTGGTGCTACTGGATATACTGGAAAATATGTAGTGAAAAATGCATCTCAAATGTGTAAGGATCGGAAAATAAAGTTTGGTATTGCTGGTCGTAGGAAAGAAGCTTTAGATGCAGTTGTTAAGGAATTTGCCTTAGATATTGGTACGGTTAAAACTCAGAACTAATTATTCCAATCGTAATAGTCAATTACTTTATTATTAGCAAATGTTATATTATATTACATATATCTTATCAGAGGACGTGCCTATTATTCTGGCTGACATAAAAGATGAGGAATCTCTCAAGAAAATGACAGAGCGAGCAAAGATACTTATCAATTGTTGCGGTCCATATAGATTTTATGGAGAACCAGTTATCAAAACATGCATTACTACTCGTACTCATTATGTTGATGTCACTGGTGAAGAACAGGTAATTTTTAATTTAACAACATTTGTGCAACAGTACAATGATCGGTTAATGATTTCTCTCTTTGATATCTTCAATATTTTATAGTTTATGATTGAAATGCAATTAAAATATAACGAAGCAGCAAAAGAAGCTGGCGTCCACATAGTAAACGCTTGTGGTTTTGACTGTATTCCTAGTGATTTGGGAGTCATTTTCACGCAACAAAAATTTGAAGGAGAAGTCAATGCTATTGAAATGTACATGAATGTGTGGTCAAGTGCTACTGACAAGAAAGGTCCATTAATGAATTATGCGACTTGGGAATCTGCAGTACACAGTCTGGCTCACGTAAAAGAAGTACAAGCATTACGCAAAAAATTATATCCTATCAAGTTGCCTGAATTCACACCGAAATTAAAATCAAGGTACACACGTTTCTACCACGTTTCTTTCACGTTTGTCTTGTGTATATCATCTTGGTATACATAAATCACATTTTGTCAAACATAAATAAATTTTCTATGCATATTAAATGTTTAGAAAATATATAAGTTAGTGCAATATTGATAAAAGAAAGAAATAGTAATTATATTAACGGTAAGCAGGGTTAATAATTCCACTTATTTTGCAGAAATATATTGCACCGAAGCGATGTTTCTGAAGGATGGTCCGTACCATTTCCGAGTGCCGATCGTTCAGTAGCTCTTCGTACACAGCGATTCTTATATGACAAGTATAAACAGAGGCCTTCACAGGTTAAAGTTTATGTTACATTGAAGTCAGTATGATACCGATAGAAATGAATATTGATAAATAATTTTTGTTAAAGTCTATACGCTTATTATTAGGTCTTTCTTCGAATTCCTGATTATGGCCATTGCTGGTATGCTTTTGTTAGTTTTGTCTCGCACATCATGCGGCCGTAATTTACTTCTAAAAGTATGTGTGCAAGTACTTTCGCGATTGTCAAAATCATTTAGATAATACAATAAAATGCGATATTTGTAGTATCCGGCTCTATTTTCATACGGTTTCATAAGTTACGAGAACCCGAATCCGGAAATGCAGAAATCGACACATTTTTCTATTACATTCAAAGCTAGTGGATGGACTGAAAAATTGTCTGAACCTACCGATGAACATACAGATCCACCTAATAAGAAAGTAATCACCAGAGTCTCTGGTGATTCTCCCGCATACGAGATGACTAGCATAACAGCGATCTTATCGGCAACAACAATCCTTAACGAAACTGACAAAATACCTGACAAGTTAGTAAATTAATAAATTATTAATTACTCACTGTAACTGTTATATCTACTGTAGTCTCATTTTTTAAAAATTAAAAAATTATTCATTTATAGTATAAGACAATTAACCCTCAATTACATACCTCGTTTTAGAGTTCTATTTTACATGTCTAGGTCCAAATTACTTGCGGTATTTTTGACTGATTCTCACAAATTAATGTAATTATCACAAATCTCAGTGGAAAATATTTTTTCTTCTAATAAAATGTCAGAATGTATAGAATCGAAATATCAAAAAGATTTTGATAATGATTAAAAAAGTTATGCCAAAATATATGAAAGAACAATTTGTGAAGAGTACAATGAGTTTTTTTAATCTTTGTGATAAAAAAAGGTACAAATAAAAATAAGTAGTGTTTTGAAAAGAGGAATATGAACTTTAAGAAAAATAAATATGTTATATTTATTCATTCCAAAAAGTATAATTATTTGCACAAGTGAAATAGGGGCATTTTTATACATGTTCGGAATAATGATATCGAATGATATGTCGGGTATTTTCTTTAAAAATGCAATGAAAATATTTTATTTTAAATATATAATGACATCGACATTATTTACATGATTTTATAACTCCGAAAAAGTAGAGCGATCGTTTTGCCAAGACGCCTCTCGCAAAAATGCTTTGTTTGACAATTAATATACGTTTTAATTATAAGAAGACAATAAATAAACTTGAATAGAGCATTAATAAACTTATTAAACACGAATTTATTTTCGGCAAAAATCTGTCGAATTCGACGGTTCTAAGTCACCCAAGCCAAACTTTTGCATTACAATTAGCATCAAGACAATAACGAAACAATTGCATTACAACGATCGACAGAGAAAGATTTCAAATTTTTTGCTTCAACTCTGCAATATTAACCATACAAAAATAGCGACCGACTAAAATTTTCACCCGAGCCCAAATGACTCACTCATGTAATTGAGGGTTAGTGACAATTGAAAGACAATTATACACTACGCACAACAATTACAGGATCACTTTAAAACTTGCAAATTTTGTCGATATTTAAGAAACGATATCTCTGCTTCTAGAGATCGCAGGACAATTTTTTTGGGTGCATCTTAAAGGGTGAAATTTCTACTGTAATTTCAATGAAACAGTTCATATGATATTTGTCGTTCCATCGAATGGTCTTTTTCGCGAAGTGCAGCAGGTCGTGTTAAAATTCTGAAAATTTCACGACTTTGCAACTTTTCATGGGTAAAATACGAACAGGTCGAAAAATCTCATTACATACATTTTAAAGTCTGAAACTTTTCCTTTAAAATGAGACCTCGACGATTACTCTAGCATGCCTAGAAGTTGAGTTATCAGGTTCCAAGGGAACCCTATATTTTGCAAGATTTTGAGTAATCACCGCGTTACCCGATGTGCACCAAGGGGAAGTTGCTCGGTCGGAATTTGCACCTCGTGTATGCGTGTGCGTGTGGTGCGTGTGTGTGCGCGCGCGCGTGAGATTTTTCGTACTTTGCCCATGAAAAGTGGCAAAGTAATGAAATTTTCAGAATTTTAACACAACATTGCTTCTGGTCTTCGCGAAAAAGACTATTCGATATGATGATAAATATCATATGATCTGTTTCAAAGTAGAAGTTTTATGCGGGTTCTACAATGAGTTTTTAGTCTGTAGTCGGTAATCGGAAGTTTTAAGTCTTAACCTAAGTCGGTGACTTCAGGATTTTTCGCATCTACAAGTCGCTAGTTGTATAGCGAGTCCTTTGGCTCGACCAATGGGAAAGAAGTTGAATTTTCGGAAAGGGGCTGAATACAATCAGTTCTAAAATAGAAAATCATTTATTTGTGTTGTGTGTTTAATAATAAACTGATAATATAGTGATAGAGTAATGGATGATGAAGAAGTAATAATAGTCATTATGCTGAATAATTATTATCTTTCAAACTGAAAGATGGCTACCGAGAAGCTACATGATTGGTCAGTCGTAAGAAAATCGATAATCGGTACCTTAAATGTTGGCTGTTGGCCAACCTTAAGCGGGGTCTACAATAGAAGTCGTAGCAGTCGTAGAGTCTTAAGTCGTAGAAAATTAATCAATCACAGTAGAATATGAGAAGAATAATCGATTATGATTGGTCAATTTTCTACGACTTAAGACCCTATCACTACTACGACTTCTATTGTAGACCCCGCATTACGGATTCACCGATTACGACTCACCGATATCCCTTCCGACTCACCGATATCCCTTCCGACTCACCGATAGCGTCTTAGGACTAAGTAAAGACTTCCGATTGCCGACTAAAGACTCATTATAGAACCTGATTACTCTTTAAAATGCACTCAGAAAAATTGTCCTGCGATCTCTGAAAGTGGAGATATCGTTTCTTAAGGGGATGCTAAACCGATTACCCAACTCAATCAAGGTCGATAATACAGACGTTTTTAATTCCAAATTCGATAATTGTGGTGACATCTTTGATTTAGTTTTTACATTATATTATATATATCATTCTGTCTTACTCAAACGCATATGTCTGTTCTTATCTAACATATGCCAGCACCATCTATCGCAAGACTGTGCAACTACTGCTACACGGAATTTCGGCTCTGTTGACAGTCCTAGTCTTCGCAAAACACCTGTATACACGTATTTTCTATTCGGTGGAAATATTTCTTTTCTAGACTTTCAATCTTAGTTCTACAAACTCGTTTTCGTTCGTTTCAATAACGTGCCCTCAGCTGCACGCTTATTTTCAAGATATGGACTCTAAAACTCTTATATCAAGCAAATATATATCTGAGATGACAGCTGTACGAGCCAAAAGTAAGTGAATTTGTAACGAATCTGAAACTTTTTTTCGATTTTCTCATGAAATCCAGTGCAGCTGAGGTCCTGTTTGTGCGTACTTTAATTTAAGCAATAATACTTTTGCAATCCGTACATCCAATACAGAGATTTTTCACCGAATGGAAATGTGGTAAAACAGGAGGCTTTAGCATCGCCTTAAAATAGGCGACAAAATTTGCAGGTTTCAAAGTGATTCTCTAATTGTTGCGCGTAGTGTAGTTACATGTTGAATTTTGGTTTTTTATTTTTATGTATTTTTATTTTTACAGTGGAGGAGTATTTACTCCCGGTGCTGCGTTCGGTAAAACATCTCTGATCGAGCAACTGATAAAACACAATATTAAATTCGAAGTGATATCGTCTACCGAGAAATAGAGATAAGAAAATTCTATATAATTTAGACGAAGAGGCCACTGTAGTGTATATATATATATATATATATATATATATATATTTAAGCCCTGTCGCGGTCGCTTGAAGGGGAGATGGGCTTTTCAAAATGTTGCAGACTTTGATTTTTTTATTGAAAGCGTCAAGATTGAATGTTGTTGCAATCGATAGTTAATATCCTTATTCCAAGACAGGCGGACTCCCATACATATCTCTCAGAAGGGTGCAAGGGATCGCCATACTGGGTTAAAGTGATACATTTTTTCTGAAAAAGAAATCGATAGCGACAAGATTGAATTTTTGTCTACTACTTAATTTTGATATCAATTGTCGAGAAATATGATTCTCATATCTTTTGGGTGGTCATGAAGACAGCTATACCTCCCGAATACATACAATTTTCTTATTCCATGTAAAATTGTTCATATTTGGGTAGGTATGATTGTTTTCGTAACCATCGAAAAGGTATGAGAATCATATTTCTCGACAATTAATATCAAAATTAAGTAATAGACAAAAATTCATCTTTGTCGCTATCGATTTTTTTTCAGAAAAAATTTTTACCACTTTGACCCAGTATGGTGATCCCTTGTACCCTTCTGAGGGGTATGGGAGTCTGCCTATTTTGAAATAAGGGTATTAACTATTGGTTGCAACAACATTCAACCTTGACGTTTTCAATAAAAAAATCAAAATCTGTAACATTTTAGAAAGCCCACCTCCCCTTTAAGCGACCGCGACCACAGGCTTAAATATATATGTATTGTTTTTATGTTTTACACGAAATAAAAGGTTACTCACTTCTCATACTGTCGCTATGAGTAAAAAAATCACTATAGTGGCCTCTTGGTTTAATTCTTTTATATACAATATTTTAATATATTTTATAATTACTTGATTTTGATTTTAATATTTGTTGTGATTTCGAGTAAACTTTATTTTATATACTTATATTCAGGGTTGGGTAGTAACTAGTTAAAACGTTAAAAGTTAAAAAAAAAGTTAAAAAGTTAATAACTTTTAACTTAACTTAGTTAATTATAAGTGTATTAAATTTTAACTTAACTAAGTTACTTTTAAACGATAACTTTTTAACTTTTTTTTAAGTTGAAAATTTTTTTATTTCTTTTAAATGTCTTAGAAAAATAATAAAATATATAATAAGACTAAGCGTATATTCGTAATCCGTTCATATAATCATATTTTAAGACCATCTTAAGTAATTTCTTAAGATGCTAATACAGCCTTAGGCGTCGTCTACAATACACGGAGTAAGAAGTAAGAGTAAGAAATTGACCAATCACAGTCGAATGTGAGAAGAATAATCGACTGTGATTGGTCAATTTCTTACTCTTACTTCTTACTCCGTGTATTGTAGATGGGCCTTTATGCCATAAGCTTTAGTCCGGATTTACAATAGGTGTTTTAAGCCTAAGTTTAGGCATGCCGCAAGACGAAACAAGACGAGATTTTAGGAAATATCGTCTTGTCTTGAAAAAATTTTAAAATGTACATTCTTGTCTTGTGATCTCGAACTCGAAAATCTTGTCTTGTCTCGAAATTCTCGACAATTTAAATAATGCGTTGTCTACACGAAGTAAGAAGTAAGAGTAAGAAATTGACCAATTACAATTGATTATTCTTCCCAGATTTGATTGTAATTGGTCAATTTTTTACTCTTCTTACTCCGTGTATTGTAGACGACGCTTAAGTATTTGCGCAATGTCTGTTCCATCAGAAAGGTTATTCTCTAGAGCAGGATTAATTTATAACAAAACATAGATTATAAGAAATAGATTATGCGAGGAATCAGCGAGATCCCTACTTTGTTTAAATTCATGGGCTACATGTTCAATATCTAAAATCTTATTTGGCGAATAATAATT